GGCCAGAGGACGTGTGGTCCGTCCCTTGGTGCTCCTCCGGCACCGCAGTCACCGCTCCCCACCTCACGCCCCGGCAGAAGCTGCCAGAGTGGGCGGCGGCAGAGGGGCAGTGGGGGGGATGAGGGCAGCAGGGGAACACGCAGACGGCGTCGGACACATCATGCAGCTACTCTAATCTTTCACAGCGAGAAACACAATGGAAGAGGAAAAAAAATAAATTATGCAGTTATTGGAAATATTTGTGAGAAAAAAATATTCTACGTGTGCAAGTGTATTCACAGCCTTCCCACATGCAGCCACTGCGCTACCTGGGCGAGAGGAGTGCCAAAGCGTATCATTCTCATCAGAAGCAAAGTGTGCAGCCTGTATGTTGAAAGAAATGCATGTTTGTGCGAAAGGAAAAATAAAGAGAAGTTCACAGTATTAGAGTGGTTACCATTATGTTGTCAAAGCCATCCTGAAGGGATACAGCAGTGCTACAGACATCCTAAAGGAAAAGGACAGGCGAGAAAATAGCAAACAATACAAAGAATATACACGATTAGGCTCGGCTTGTTAGTGGATCCATACAGCACCTTTACAGAGCTCACTTGTACGTACTCAAAGAATGCCGGTGTTTAGGAACGTTAACAAGGTCCTTTCAGGTGGTTTTTATGCTAATGAACCTCAATACTTTTATGAAATTCATGAACAGAAACTCTAAATGTGGAAAGGACTCCTTGCCATCCACAGGAGCCTATTAATTCTGTCCATAGTACTCAACATTTTTTTAGCAAGTGTGAGTTCTTAAAGACCTTGCACCGTAGCTATTTGCTTTCTGGAGCACAGCACACACGGCACAGCACTGACGGGCAGAGTCCTTCTGGACTGATTTGACAGAACTGTTCACACCGGTGCTGGCAGCTTCAAGCTGATGGGTAATTTCATTCTGCAGCTGCAGAGACATAAAACCCAAAGAAACCTTCCCTATTTAAGTGCTACCTACCAACATACACTGCATAGCAGCAGTGCTTACAGATCATCTTGCTCCTAAATTTTCAAATGCTTGTACCCTGCCACTGCATTTCCCCTCTAAATGCAGGACTGCAGGAAGAACTGCCACAAGCTGCCTAGGGATGCGGTTCCGAACTGGAGCACCGTGCACGCAGGCGGGCGTCCCGTGGGGCAGCCCACAGTGCAGGGAGCGGGCAAAGCCCAGTGCCACCGGGACCTCGGAGGGGTTTCTCTGGTGCCAGCGCTGCCAGCACGTGCCGAGACAACAAGGAAAGCAAATGGGACGGTCTGGTGAATTGATCAGTCATTTCATTAGTGAAAGTTTTCACACAGCAGGCTGAATGAGTCTTCCCAAACATCCTGTAAGGCCAAATGTTAAGAGGACGTGTCCGTCCATGGTGCTCCCCAGCACACCGCACAGGGCCTGGCTCTGCATCCACTGGGGAAGTAACTGGGAACAAAGGCTGGGTTCGGATGGCTCTGGAGAGACTTGGTTTACAGCAGTTTAACTTACACTGACTTATTGCTGAAAGAAAAGCAGGGCTGATACGGAACCGTTGACTGATGAACATCCAGCACATCATATGTTGGCTGAAATACGCACCTGAACCCACCCTGCTGGATTTTAGCGCCACTTTTACATTGTAAAAGTTCAATCCATGTCTTATGAAAAAGTTAATTGCAGACACCTTATTAAACTTATTTAGGCATGGATTCATGTCTTCGTAAGAAGTTTACTGTGCTGACAACCTCTCTATGCAGCACTCTGGAGAAGTTAACCGTTGTTCTTAACACCTCAGATACTGTCCTTGTTTGAAACCAAAAGGGTAGTGTAACATCTCTTGTCCTCTAAGCATGACAGTGCTAAATAACAGCATTTCTTAAAGGGGAGAATAATGTGTCATTTTAGATCTTCAGTTATTACTTTTTGATCCACCTAGCCCTAAGCAGTGATCAGCATTTGTTTACTCAAGGCTCTTCTTTAAGCCTGTATTTTATCACAGTAAATGAAAGCCAGATGGGCATAACACTAAAACAGCGAGATGTTGCCTAATGTAAGAAATACTACAGGGTTAACTGTAGAGCCCCGTGCCCGTTTAGGGTACCTAATCCTTAGTAGCTCATAGTTGCCCACAGGACACCAATGAGGGATCAAATATCCACCGTACTACTGATATTATAACACACACATCCAGAGCTTTTGGGCACTGTACCTTTTTTTTTTTTTTTTTTTAAGGTAGAAGACAGGACACTTACAGGGAAACCCTATGTTCACAATTATGGACGGCCCCATATGGGGCTGCAATGAGGGTAAGAATGGGTACGGAAGGACTTTAAAATAAAGGTGAGAATTAATCGGTTTTACCACCAACTACTGCGTACATCTTTCTGGTTATCTGGGACTCAAAACCCAATTTTCTATTCTTACACCATCAGTTCAAAAGCAGCCTGTCTGTAGCCATACTCTGAAATGAGCTCAGGCTCTGAAGGGTGTTGCACAATAGCCATGTGTGGTTTGGCACACAGCGGCTGTACTCTGCAAAAATGTTAGGAGAAATACCAGCTATTTCTAGAGAACATGGACGTCTGTGTGCACGTATGTATGGAAACGGCTCCTGCTGGACTTCCTGGATTTTTAATTGTGAAGAGCATTGCTGTGCCTCTGCTGCTCTTGTAGCTTGGTGGTACACAGCACCATGCGATTCCACTATGAAAGCCTCTGTGACACAACAGGAAACACAAATATCATCACGTAGCAAAAGCAAAACCTGATTTATGAAACATGGGAAAAATAGAAGGGACTAAGAGACGAAAGGGCAAATGAAGTTTACAAGCAGATGGCTCTGGTTAAGCAATATTTAGGGAATTACTGCAGCTCTAAGTATCAGCTGGCTCTCCACTCGGTAAGCCTACGCAGGGCAAGCAGCCCCACGGAACGCAAAACCACCGTGTTGCCTTTCAGACTTGGGGGTTTGGACAAACCTGTTGGAGAGGCCGTGACTGTGCTTGCTGCCTGAGGAGCCGCTGCTGCTGCTGCTCTTGCTGCAGGAGTTTCATCTGGAGCAACTGCTGCTGAGGCGCGATTGCATGGATAGAGGGGGGCTGCATCATGGTGCCGGAGCGCCGCTGCAGCATGTTCGACAGGGCTTGCTTCGTATTAGTTGGAACAAAGGAGCCTGTCGGATCCAGCCTGGAACCACCTAAAAACCACCCAAAACACAAATGTGTTCTCTGCCTTCCATAAGAACGTTGTTGGTACAGATCACTGCTACTTCATCAGCTCCTATTTGGTTAGCTCTACAATAACGATGATAAACTTACCTCTGGAAAAGGCAGTGAAGTGGATTAAACCAGATTACTGGCCTGAAAAATTAAATGGGCAACATAACTTTGAAGACTACCGCTTCTAAATGAGAACAAAAAGTAAAAATGCTACGGGCTGTTGCACGTTCTACATCACATAAAACGTTTGACTACTACTGAAAAAACAAAGTTGCATGTCAGATCAAAAGCATGATATGAACAGCTAGTGATGTCAGGACAATTTTATCATGAGATAGCAATAATTTATGCACTCTATGCTATTTGATAAAAATCACGTACCTAACTGTATGTTAGACTTTTGAAGGTAACCTTACACGTATTTTTTTAAATCAGCATTTCCTTAACTCTGTAGCCACCATCTGGTATTTTCTGAAGACTTTTGTGCACTTAAATACAGATCTAGTTGTATTTGGAGCTTCAGAAAAATTATTTAACATTTATAATTGGAACCAAACTTCCAAACTTCTCCTGCATAGTACCTGAGAAGGACACGATAGTATTTCTCAAAACATCATAAACTGCTGCCCCCTAGAGCAAGTAAAATACCTACGTTAAGCTGTGTACACATTAACTGGAAGAAACAAAACAAGTCTACAAATAATTAAGCACATATCACAAATCCTGAAGAAAAAGTGAGCCCATGGATATATTTATCCCATCTAGCAGATGTTAAATTAGCCACCATGGCTCTTGGCATCAGTCAAAGAAGAAATAACCCAAAGGTCATTTGTTCCTTTTAATCATCCCTCTCTTATTTCACTCCTCACTGAACTTCTACCAGCTTTCTCACGCTATCACCACAGTAGGTCATTTTTGCTTATCTACCAAAAAAGATTTATAGCTTAACAGAGACAGACCTACCACCGGTAACAGAAAGCCCTTCAAAAATCTGCCCAACTAAAGAATAAAGTAAATGGCCTCGGCAGACACCGCCTGCTTCAGAGAAAGTTGGAAACAAAACACGGTTACAAGAAGTCAATTTTTATCTTACACGGAACAATAACGCCCGTGCCTGCGAGGCGAAGGCTTGCGCGTACCTGGAGGGAGGGGCTGGTTCTGCACAAAGAAGCCAGGCTGCGGCTGCCCCATCACGTTGTAACCCCACAGGGCAGGCTGCGGGTGGTGCATCATCGGAGAGGAAAGCGGTGAGTAAGGGGGAGGCACTCTGTATAAGCTGTTCTGTGGATATTCCTTAAAATACACAGTAAAAGTGAATGTTACTGACATTCATACCTTACTAACTCATAAATAATGCCAATTTTCCTACTAAATTATTAAAGGACAGAGACAGTTCCCATTGTCATTTGCAATGATGTAAAAAACAGATTAAGTCTCAGGCTGCCCACAGGTAATTAACACTAACAACTTCACAGATGCACCATCCATTTTTACCTTATTAGCACATATTTTCTGCAGGCTATAATTAGGTATAACACAAGGACAGCTTACTCTATCAGTATATAAATAACAGGAAGAACTTAACTGAAATATCAAAAAGGCCAGAAAATTATTTTAAAGTTACAGCTACTTAAAACACAACACACTGACAAACCGGCTGGACGCTGGCAGAACACTGTGGTGTCTACAACACATACGACTGCCCTGGCAGCAGCGTGCCGAGGACGTAATCACACGGAATGCTGCTGCTGGAAACGTACATTATCATTCAAGTGGTGCCATGCGTGTTTTTCAAACCTGTGCTCTGTGTGATTCTTCAGCTTAGGAACCCACACCTCAAAAAGCCATTAAAACCAAAAGGAGAAGTGTCTCAGAAACCAGAACAAACTGCACAGTACAACAGTTTAGCTGAGCGAAAGAGAGTCTTTCGCAGCGGTTTCCATTTGAATGGGACCTGGGTTTGAACCAACACGTTTGCTCTCAACATAACTGGAACAGGAGGAATTTTAGAAATGGATACAAACAGTAACAGCTGTACTTTACACCCAACAAGAGAAAGCATATGTGGAACTCGGATAACATTTACTGAGCAAGACCCAGTCTAGCACATTTTACATAGCACATAAGGTCCTAAGCCCAGGAGGTTCCTCTAGACTCAGCTCTATTTGATAGAAATCCACCCTCCTGACCTTCTCCATTCAATCCCTTGATTGGGATCCACTCCTCCAGGCACAGAGCAATTTCTGAAGGTAGCTAAGACAGCACCACACCACTACAATGCTTCGGCGAGGTATTTCAAGTTTTGTATCGGGCACTAACTACTTACATCAGCCCTTGAGCTTGACTTTGACTTTCGTTTCCTGCCCTTTGTCTTCTTCTCGTCATCCATGACAAGTTTTCCCTGATCCGAGAGCTCTCCTGACTTTCTTTCTGGTTCCTGAGAGACAGGTGTGGTGGGCTCTTCCTCCTCCTCCTCTGGAGGAAGGGGCAAGGGCTCGAGGTAGTAACTCCGTGGTTTGGGCTTGGTGTGTGTGTGGTACAGGAGGAGATGCTGCTGCTCCTCATATTTTATCACTTTCCTGTCGACACGAACTGTACCAAACCATGCCCAGGAGAGAGGAGCAGGATTTTTGTGACCTTCAAATAAATCCCAAGGGGACACCTTTTGTTTTGTTGAAACCTGAAGACCCTGTTTCACAGTAAAAGTGAAGTTAGTATTTTAAGACAGTTGAACACAAGAGCAGACGACTTGTTTTTGTACACCATTATTTGAGTGAGAAAAATCCAATAAGGATTCTTTCCCCTCCACAAGACGTACCAAATGCACACTGGTGGGATTTTAACCTCTGTCCAAGGTTGCCACTAGATAAAAGCAACTATATTTTTGTAGTACCATTTGCTTATAGCTATGCTAAAAATCTCAAGTTTCATCTATGCTATTTGGAGGAGAAGTCAAATACATATCAAAAATCACTAATCTGAGAATACACTTGCTAAAAGTTTACATATTCAAACAAGGGGAGAAAGCCTAAGCACAGTATCACAAAAAATGCCTACGCAGTCTGCAGAATAAAAAGCCCTATCCTAAGCTCTATCCTTCTCTTTCAAACAAGTTAACTTAAAAAAAATATGCACCCCTTCATATTCCCCAAAAACCCCCAAACAACTAATACACTCCCCCTGCTCCTTTTCCTCTCTTTTTTGTAAGCAGGATCACATCCTCCATCTTCCTCCCAGCAAGTAACAGGTCAAAAGGTTCCCAGGTCAAATGAGTTCTCAAATGTAGGATTCTGCTTGAAAAGCGAATACTTTTGTAAGAGCTTCTGCTGCTCAACTCCAAGTCAAATCTAATTTCCTTTTTTGGCAACTTTTGTGGAGTTGGCCGATATCAGTCAAGACTCTATATTGCAAAACTGAGCAAGCTCACGTCAACACTCCTCACATGAGCAGTTACAAATTGACTGTGTACTCTGTGGATTTAACAAGAAGGGCAGGCAGCAAACACAATGAGTGCATTTTACACAAGTCAGAAAGCAAAAGGTTACCCAAACTCTCAAATTTGTACGAGTGGCATAAACCTGTTTCCATTAAAGATGCACATATATCTAAAGCTCTGAGACCATCTGCAAGTATCAGCGAATTGTCAGGGAGAGGAGGACGGAATTGCTGGGGTGCTGCTGCAGGGGTGGTGATGCTGGTGCACGGTCCCAGTCACTCCGGGCTGCTCGAACTCCTTCAGCCCGGCTGTACCAGCTCCCCTCGTGCCGCTCTGAACCCACTCCAGGTTTCACACTCTGCCTGACAATTTTCACACAGGTTGTGCAAACAAAGACTGTGCAAGAACATTTGGAACAGAAATGCATTTGCTACCAAAAAAGGGTCTGTCGTTTGCACCTATTTTTAAAGGCATTATTCTACAAGCCCAGCATTCCTCACGTTTGGCGTCACTGCTCATAGAAAGCCTACCTGTTTGAAGGAGGGTGCATTGCTCTGGCTGAAGCACAGCAATGACTGAGAGTGCGTTAGAAAGCTGCGCTACAGCAGAAGTGCAATGCTTTTACGATACTGCATGTAGGCGCATGTACTGTACAAGCTGTACCTGTTTGCTTGAACTTCCTATGCTTCAAAAATCATGGAAAAACTGAGATGAAAGCAAACATTTACTCTTGCCTGTTTCTTATCAATGGAGTCAAATCCTGCAATTTTGTTCCCCTTGGTGTCGATCAAGGATCCCATGGGCTCACAAGTAATAATGTCACACGTCTGCTTTGGCAAAGGGAGCAGCTGGCGAACCTTGTCAATGCTTTCTGACCGCTTGTCTCCCAGCTCTTTCTAAAGAATAAATACATCAGTCAGTCACACAGAAAGGGGAGAGAAGGAAGAGAAACAATGCACTGCTTTCACTATTAGAAAAAGTCCCGTTTCTGGATGAATCATTTCCTTGTACTTTTACTAAATTTAAACAAGTGGCTTTGCAAGGGTTTTTGTGTTTTCTTTTGCTTTTTTTAAGAATGTAAGTTATCTTTTCATCTCTTGTTTGAGCAGAATATAGAAAATACATATTACAAATTAAATACAAATCTATTGTCTCAAACATGAATGAAAGTAACTAAGTGTCTTGCAGGGTCCCTAACTGTAATTTAATACGAAGAAACTATTAGAAGTCCATCTTCCCACACCCCCATTCCTGTATTTTTATTTTCTTCTTTTTCTCCTTGTTATCAGCAGTGCTGTTTCAGTCTCTCCTCTTTTTCCAAGAGGCATTCCCAGAATTAGAAACCACAGGATTACAAGAGGAGCACAGAATGCGACTCAAAAGAAATGTTGAAAAGGACAAGACATAACACTTACTTTTAATTTTTTCACCAGATTCATGTAAGCCCTTTTGTTTTCCTCAGGCCCTCCTTGGGAAGCGTTCGACAAGTCCGAGGCAAGCGTCCCGTTGATGAGGACGCCCAGCATATCAAGCACGGTTGTGAACAATTCGCTGAGAGTAAAGACAAGTATTACCCGGAGGAACTACCGATTGCTGAGAGATCCGGGGACAGACGCTCACGGCAAAGGCCACAAACGCAGCTCTTCAGACAAGCCGGGGTGTTCCGGGCTTTCTGCATGCACACACATCCCAGCTTGCATGCAGAAGCCCCAGCATATACGTGCAGGTAGGCTGTCAAGACGTGCACACGGATCTTATTATAAAGCCCAGCTCAGAGCTAAGACAGCACAAACTGCTAACAGACAGTCGTTAGGAATTATGGGCTCCGACTTAGGAAAGTGCTCAGGTACGTGCTGGTTAAGGAAGAATGTAAATAGCGGCTCCAGAGCTTTCCAAAATAGAGGTGCTGCCCAACCAAGACCAGCACTGAGCGCGTAAGTTGTACTCAAGCAGTAATAGGATAATAGTAAGAAAAATATAACAATAACATACATGCAATCTAAACTTAAAAGCACTAAGGATAGGAATTAGCTTGTTTAAATAGCGCAGACATACTTGTTGGTCTGCATATCAACAGTTCCTGAAGTGATTATCTGGAGGAGCAGAAGTGCCCAGTCTGTGGTCCACTGGGTACTCCTCTGCACAGTGTCAAACATGCCACCTACCTGCAAAATACACAGCAGATAACAAGGTTCTGCACATACTTCACAGGTGCACCTTCCCTTATCATGTGTATTACTTCTGAATAAAACTGCTGCCCTGTCCCACGAGTTCTTGTGTGCTGAATGCCATCTTGAAGTGCTGACTTTAAATAACTTTTCCTCCCCACCCCATGCTCCCAGTAAAAAGCTTCTCCTGAGAAGGAACTATAGAAAAGCAAAATGTAATTACATTGCTCCTTCAGTTTCACATCTTCGCTTTCATGTTTCATGCAACAAACTGAAGTCAGCGAAAAAATTCTCAGCACTGAAAAGGTGTTGAATTAAAACTTCATAGTTATCACCTTCCTTCCGCACACAAAAATCAGACAATAATGTCCAGTGCAAAGAGAAAAAAAATCTGAACAACATAGCATTGACTGAAAATGAAAACTGCTAAATGATGTACTTTACCCTATGAACACCTTTTCACTATTTCTACCAGTCTAGTATGACACTGTAAAATATGCCTTGGCTTTGAGAAGGAGCCATTTTACCAAAACTCATCCTTCAAAGGATCAAATCGCAGTAACACAAGATACCCACTCAGGTTGCAAGCCCAATTACCAAATGGTCAGAAGAGTCCAAATCCCGAATTTCAAAGGTACACCACTTCTAGCTAACAAAAGCTCAGCTCAAGCCTTCAGACAGTGACAGCCCTGTGAAAGACAAACACCTCCCTGTTGCACAAGCTGATGCCCGAGGGAGCTTTCATCAGGCTGACACTGCTCTCCCCTTACTGCTGCGCTGCAGCCCAGGGTCTTCCTACTCTGCCACGATGCCACTGTCACTTCGTTGTTTTGCACATCATCCCTGCACCCAGTGTCGGCACCAAATCATCTTTCCTGATGCTTCCCACTTCACAACTCTCCAAAAATAAACCTTTTTATTTTGTCATCTTTATAATCACTCTAAATCCCTTCACTCTGTGCTTGCAGTTGTTTCACTTCACACAATTCTTACCAGTGCTTAAAGCTTATTTCAGGGTTCTGTCTTGCCCAGCAAACACAGAGACTGTTTCAATCCTCAGTACCTGCTCTTAGCTCCTAAACCTTGCTGAGTTGGTATCAAAGATTACTCCTTGAACTACATAAGTGGTTTATGGTTTACAAAATATAAAATCTTGCTGCTTTAATAATAAACCAAATATTGCCCATACCAAGAGTTCTCCCAACCCATGATGAAGTACCTGTCTCCGTGGTACTCAGGGGCAGGTGACAGCTGCTTTACTTCAAGCACAGCCACAGCAATCCCCAATCAAGTCCCCTTGGCCTGAGCCAGCGGCAGCGTAAGGCCGTGCGTACCCCTCTGGTTGCACATCTAAGCAGCTTCCAAAGAGGTGGGAAGAGAACAACGCTGTACTGTTACTCCTACCTTGGTGCTCCCTCATTTGGCCTTACGCGCAGTCTCCACACACCTACGCACTGTGCTAAACGAGCCGCGGGGCCCTGACATCCGGTAGAGAGCTTTCAAGAGATGTGGGATGTCAGAGAACTTGATGGAAACTAAGTTGATTAATACATGTATCCAAGTAGCAGCAACTGAAATTGCGCAGGTAAGTTAAATAGCCAAATGTTACACTCCCCAAGAACTCTGAAAGTCTCAACTAGATTATTAACTGCCTAATTCCAGAAAATCCTCACATGTTACATGGGGATAAGCCATCAGCAGACAATGGCTTTGAATGTCCACAAAAATATGACACATTTCTGAAAAGTTCCAGGGACAGTGAAGGAAGAAAGCAGCACAAAAATAAGGCGCAAATAAGGAATAGGCTGTCTTTCCCATTTATTTTTTATGAACAGTGTCCAAACGTTACGGCCAGGAGGCATCAGCTGAAACAAGAGAGATGGAAGAGCAGAGGTGACACCAGTGGAGCAGAGACCACCCCTGTGCCAGGGTAGATGGGACACTAACAGCCCGGGCTGTCCCTGGCCAGCCCCACTTGGGGCCACCTCCAGCCCAGGAGCCCCAGGTCAGGAGCCTCAGCCTGTCCCCATGGCCCTGCCTGGCCATGCCAGGGCTGCCTCGGACCCTGGCTTCCCTCGCCAGGGACCCTGAGCCCCCACACCATGGGCTGACGTCCTGGCATGGCCTCAGCCCGTCCCCACCCCAGTGGGGGTGCCTGATGCCTGGGGCTGCGGGCTTGAGGGACCCCCCAGCTGCCTGCTCTCAGGGAGCCCTGGCCCCCATGGTGCCCTGACACAGTGCTGCTTGCTCCTTACACCTACTCCAGAGGTGCTACACCTACTCCTAGCTGCTACATCTTTTTATAACGTCAGGATAACCACGTCCATTTTTCTTACCAAGTTAAGACGAAGTTGTAGGGCTTCATGCATCATTTGCCTAGCTTTAACATCGTCCTGGTACCGTTCTTCCCTCCAGTTACTAAGGATCTAAGAAAAAACATTTGATTAAGGTTATTTTCTTCCTGTAAAGGAATGTTCTCCCTTTGAAATTAAAGTATTATCCATTATCTATAAGGAATCATAAAAGATTTTTAACCTTTTAACCTCATCCCTGTTTAAGGCTTAGAGCAGATTAAGCAAACTATCGGGGGAAAAAATTAATTTGTAAAGAGCTGATAATCTGCTATCAATTGTGTGACTACATCTTCCTGTTGTGGCACAAAGAAAATAAGCAGCTTCCTGATGCATTTATTAAAAATATGGTTTCAAACACCCTATTTAACTGTTCACCACAGGTAAGTAAATAGATCTCTTGCACTGGATGCAGCTTCCCAACAGGGTCTGGAGGGATCTCAGGATGAGACCAGCTGCATTTCAGGGGAGAATGCATACAGCAAAAGGAAAGCCCAAGTGGCAGTAACACCCAAAAAAACCCATCAAAGGAATGAATTTAGCTAGGATGTGGACCTACATCATAGCCTGGACCTCAGCTGAGAGGCAATATGAGAAAATAACGGCTCTGTGGGTATCAATTTTCACTGTCACAGAAATTCATAGAAACTAAAGACAGAAAAAAGTAAACATGCACCCACTACACTGGGCACTGTGTATACTCATTTTAAAGACAGTCTTAAGGAGCTGTTGTAGGCTAGAGGATGAACCGGATGGGAGCAGGACGTCTAGAGCAGGACCAGCAGATATGAGCAAGCACAAGTGATCCAAAGGAAGAGCTGCAGGCAATGGGCCAGTTTGGGACTAGCAATATTGTTTTTTAAAATATGACAAACTCTTCATCTGTACCAGCTGGGGAAGTTGAAGGGTCTTCCTAAAGAAGGAAAGTTTCAAACTTATAAAAACTTTTTATGATCAAGTAGCGACTGAGAAGACTGTTCCTCTCAGGACTAACATATTTTATTATTTTTCCTGGAAAGAACGGAAATCAGACTCAAGTTCATTATGTTTCTCTGTAACAATTTTAGCAAAAAGATGTATTCACTCTCTATAAAGGAACAAACACCTCCCCATTCTTCCTTCCTTGGACTTCCTTTTAGCATACCACTGCATTATAATTGTCCTGGTTTTACACCATCGTACATACATAAAACTGATGACACATAAAACACGTAACGAAGGGTGCTCACGGTTACGTGCTTGTTTTACCTGATTAACTTGATTCTGCAGTGATGTTAGAAGCCCTTCCCGTTGCTCATCCTGCCCCTTAAGGCAAGTAAGTACCAATGAAAGGAAAGGTTGCTGACTCAAGAGAGACATGCTTTAAGAGAGGCAAACACAGAAGTCAATTAGTAAAGTTACTTTGATACTTCCCGTCCTCGCTCCCTTCCTTGTTGGTCTACTTTTTTTCCTGGAAGTGGCATTGCCTGCATCTGTGTCTGTTTCTGGTTTAGTAGATGAAAGCCTTGCCAGAGGAATTAAAAGAACATGCACACAAGACAGAGCACCAGCCAGTCCAACGCACGTGTAAGGCATGTCATTACTGAGAGCCCACCTAGCTCAGGGCATTGAATGACCAAGATTTTTGCATGGACAATTTAAGGCCTGACTCAGAAACAGAACACGTTATTTTACAACTGCTTTAATTAACCAGGGATATAATTTTAGTGGAAATTAGGCAGACAAAGTTTCCAATCCATGTTAGTGGTGTGAGGTGAATCCCAAGTGGGTTTCCTTTGGAGCACTGATTAGAACGACAGCTGCCTGAACTCCACTAAAATTCTAACACGGCCTTACTGTAAGTAAACTGAGATGCAGCTGTAGCTGGAGATGCCATACCAATCTAAGTGCTTTCAGATTTTCTAATTTTTTTATTTTTTTTAGATTTGTGTGTACCCATATACACAAAGATGAATTTGGAAGTACAACATGTGAAGTAGAAGTTAAAAATGTCAGCAAAGGGACTGGAGTAACAGGTCATGCAATGATTTTTGCAGTTTAGGTATTTAAGCTCCTAGAAAATTACATGCATTAGTAAACACAATATAAATACATATCCACACATACACATGTGTATTTATTACACGTATTCATTTCAACAGGTTTTTTAATTTGGCATTTAACCTCCCTTCAACAATTTAGGTGATGATTAGGATAAATGAATGGCAAAATCCCAAGGTCCCATAAAAGGAGCAAAATAGAAAGTCTGCGTTTTCAAAAGTCATGTTAACCAGTGATTTTTCAGATTTTAGGAGCAGCATGGTTCATTTTCTTCTTCATTTTCTCATGAATTTCCATAAGGAAAATTTACAATTTCCCAGACAGTTGTTATTGCGATTGCTATCCCTGCCACACAAAGCAGAGTTTGAAAAAAGGAAAAGAGATCTTCTATATGTTATGTGAGATTTCATACTTTCCCATAGTATGATGGGTTTTGTCACTCACAGAGCAGTAAAGCTTGTTTTCAGTCAAGAACAGATATTGAAAAGTTTCAAAAAGCACACAAATAATTTATTGTTAGAACTAGAACAACTTTGTAAATGCTTTTACTTCTGTGAATAAGCAGCACTATGGAGGAAAGGCTTGATGGTTTCTATGGGCATTTTATCTGGGCTTTGAAAGAGGCTTGGTTTAGATTTTCTACACTAGAGCTCTCCCGTAGGAAAAGAAACAGAAGACAGAGAGAGGTTCCATATTGCTTTCTACTGATGCAAGCAGCGAGAGAGCCAGTGAATCACAGAAAAGTGCTGAAAAGCCCAGAAACACCTAACAAAGATCCGGAAAGCAAGATGCCTTTTTTATCCAACAACAGATGGAACAGGTATTACAAATTCATCAGAAGGACGAGGAAGAGATGGCTTCATAAAGCTAACACAAAGCATACTTAACTCAAAAACTGAACATGGCAAACAGAACTTGTACAGGTCAATACATCCCGTAAGAAGCTTATTAAAGAGACAGTCCAGATGAACTAGGAGGGGCCAGCACAACAGAGAGTAATGGGCATACTGCAATTCTGATGGAAGGAAAAAAATTACATTTTCTAACCTTAAAGGGAAAACAAGTTAGGTGGAAGAGGCCGGAAAAGAGTACTAGATTTAAAAGGCTCCACAGAATTTAATGACAACCACAAGTCAAAATCAATACACGCACCACAGGTTTACAAGAGCACTACAAAGCGGTGACGCCCAATTATTGGCCCCACGCTCAGGGAAAGCACACTGCATGAACATCGAAGGTGATCAAAAGACAATGCACAGTAGTAACTCATAAGAACAAGGAACTCGTGGTGGGACCATATCCAAAAACCAAATACCACAAGCCTTTAACAAGTGATTTGTTTTGTTGAACAACTGTACTTTGGAAGAGCTTCACGACAAGAAGAATGGTTGGTATTTGAAGCTAAGAGAACTTGCTATGTATAGTATTTAACGTAACTTCTATCGTAACTCTAAGAAAGTACAAAAAAAATATAGGCACTGTGGAAGAATATTTTACTAAAGGAAAATCAATAACCAGTAAATCATTACAATTCTCACGCACTTGGAAAGTTAGAGATGAGCTTAAGCTTAATTCCCAACAGGAATTAAGTCACATCTTACAACACTTATGGGATCTTAATGGCAAGAAAAGTGGCCTACTGCCACACAAGGGAAGAGATGACAGGTGCTCTAACTGTTCTTTTAAATCTCTACCATTTCTCATCACCAAGCTGCTGACTGGACACTGGAAGATGTGTTACAAAGCCTTCACATTTCCTCCTCTGAAACCAATGATATTTCTTCAATCTGAATGCAACCTGAACCCTGTTTGTGGTTGATAATTTTTTGCTTCACAAAAGTGAACCAATGAGGTTTTGTGAGCCAAGATCCACTCCTCAGTACACTCCTCCTTCAAAAATACCTTTCAGTTCTGCGTACAGGGATTTCCCAAGGGCATACCTTTTTTGTTTCTGTCTATCTCTTTCCTTCTTAGAAGATGACCCCAAATGCTGACCTTTCTCCAGCTCCTCTCCTGCAGCTTTCAAGACCCTACCTTGAACTGAGGTAGGCAGTTTTGCAATCAAGGGAGCCACCAGCCACACTCCTCGCCGCTCAGAGGAACTAGAAGTACAACAAATTTATTTCAGCCAAAATATCCATGTAGTTTTGCAACCAGTATTAGCTGTTGTACGACTGAACTGCTTTTATTAAAGTAGGTGACACAATGCATCTGGAGTAACTACTGTGGACTGAGCAGTCACAATTTCTGGTTTCCAGAAAATTCAAGAACAGCAACTATATTTACTGTTAAACAAAAGTAAATAGCAGTAACCTTCAGGTAACTCATTTCTGTACGTTCCTGTTTCAAGTGCAAAAAAGTCTAGGCAATCTACACATAATTAAGCATCGCATTGGCCAAAATAATTAAAAAGGTGCTACAAAAAATACCTTAGGAATGTCTTTTTACCATTCTGTCTTGTATTACTTGTGTCAGCATTTCCAACAGAGTTTGGATTGAAGAGGCCTATACCAGAGTTAGAAGAGTTATTGTTTAGATCAGCGGATTGCTGAAACACCTCTATTGTCGCCTTTGCAATATTATCCAACAAGCTGTTCATTTCAGCCACAGACCCAGAACCCTACAGTAAAACATAAGTAAACTAGCACATTCATGGTATGTTTGCTCATGGACTACGTTAAAATTTAACATACTTATTTGCATTAAATATTTAGATAAGAAAGTCTGAAAACAAATACTCACAGGCTCCTTCATGCACTGTTTGATCATTAGTTGCAGCTCCAACCAAGACTGCCGGAGTGTCCACTGATCTAAATTCTAGGTAAGAATTAACATGAGAAATACAAGTGTCAACACTTTACAGGTCTGAAGGAAAAAAAGTCTCATAATTGAATACATTACATGCAAAAGCCTCATCTTATAAGCAGATCATCAGTCACTATTCTTTTTAGTAGCCTAGTGACATCCCAAAATATCAGACCTATTAAAGAATGTCTGTTAACTTGCACATCTTTGCAGCCAATATTGTTACTCAGTACTTTTAACTGTGCAACTTTTCTGAATAAAAATCTCACTCTCTGCAAAACCTGAGTTTAGTTAAATATGAATGTAGAAAACATAATTTGTTCTTTCATCAGTAATTACATTAATCCATGGCGTTGCCATCCAAGTGGACACGTTTGTATTTAGCACAAGGCCACCCAGACACTATTAAAGTAAAAGCAGCAGCTGAAGCGATTGTTCTGCAGGACACTGATCGCTGTTTGTCCTGGTCCAGATATCGCCGACTTGATTCTTCACAGCTCTACTCAAGACAATCCATTTTGTACTTTAAGACATGGAGTGTCCCTAACGCAGCTGAATTTGAAGACACGATCAGTTTAGGACTGCCTGTGAAGGCGTCTGAGCCTTTTCCATGGAGCAGGAGTGTCTTTCACCACAGTACTGTCACAGAGCCCTACTCCCACCTCAGCAGCCCTACAAGCAGCTCCCTTTTCAGTGGCTGCCTAATGACTGGCAATGATGAACAACAATGATGAGTGTGCTGCACGCTTGTTTCCTCCACAACTGTGGAGTCAGAAGTAACGAGACACCAGAAGTCCCACAAGAAGACATTTGCCGCAGACTGGGGATCCTGAGCACATACAGTCTTTAAAGAGGAATCTAATGCTTGGTTGCACCAGAGGCTGCAAATCAATGTCACTTGGGAGTGCTGCTGAATGACGGGGTTAGAGTCAGCGCAACACAGGTCGTTTGTCCACCTTTTCCCCACTGCATTACCTGAAGTATGCGTTTGATGTGCTGCCTCTGAGGGTTGTCACCCTCCGTGCACTCTTTAACGCCATGAGGGTAACAGATAAGTTGAAGGAGTTTCTGTGCTTGTTTGTTTGAAAGAACAGGATCCAAAATAAGATCTTTGTCTGTGCACAGCCTCTCAGGTTCTTTTAAACAGTGCTCTCCAACCCATTCCTGTAAGTAATCAGATAACAGATTCACAAGATAGGCAATATTAACTTTTGGTAAGCTAAACAGAAAAGTGATTTTTCCATATGCAAAACCTGAAGTGACTGTGGTTAATGCAACATGTGAGATTAGAAATGTCTTCTGTCATTCAGTACCACCTGAAAGTATAAGACTGTTTACAGGTTTTCCAAAATTCATTTCTTCTATCCTTGGAAAGTGACTTTGCAATAAAACAAATGCTACTGCAAAAGCATTTGAGCAGACAGCTGATGGAATGGTCCTACTGTCTTCTCAAAGTGCTCGAGAGTCAGGTAGGACAAACAAACACCTCAATTCTAACAGAGTGCAGGGAGATGCTAATAACTAACTAAAGCAATTTTTTTCCCCCGCTTAACATACTACTTGGTGCATAAATTGTCCAAGCCAGGAAACCCAACTAGAACTCAACTATTGAGTTGACTTCAACAGTCTTTTTGCACCAAAATGTATGTTACACTTTTCAGATAAAACAACATTGTTTCTCCAAATGAAGACAGAAGAGTAGTTTTACACATTACCTGTTGGCAAATTGTTCTTAGCACGTATCTAGCATACTCGCTTAAACTAGCGGTTTCTATGGAAACAGCTTTTCCACATGATTTCAAAGTGTGAGAGGAACCCCAGATTTCATCCTCATTGAGTTCATCTAATAAGCCTCTCATATGGAAGTCTTCACTCTTCAAGGAGCTGACACTGTTGCTGCCAATTTCTGCGTCACCTGTACAGCAGAAGCACAGAAGCACAGGGTGAACTGTTACCCAAGGCCCCGAGCCCCCAGACCGCTTACCCGCCAAGGGACGCCTTCGGAGGCACAGGCCAGCTGAGGAGTAAAGCAGGAGTGAGGCAGTCGCATTCAAAAGGGCAGCACTAACGGACTCTGAAAATCACCATGTTCAAAGCATTGTCTGCTTGCTTCATTTTGCATAGCATCTTGTGACTGGGTATTTCAGAAGTAGGAAAAGGTTTATACAAATCAAACACAAATAAAGCCACTACGTGCTCACCAGGAAAAGGTCTGTGAGTGAATGGAACTGCTTTGGCAGATAAGGAAGAGTTGGGTTTCTCGCTCTTCTCAGATGTCCCTTTTCCAAGTATTCTCTCTTACTTTGATTTATTAACACTCCACGGATCAAGAACCCCAGCAAATCAAGTACAGTCTGTAATAACTAATGCAGGGTGCCAACAAGAGACATCTCCGAGTATAGTATTTTGGTACAGGAGGAGATGTGCTGCAGTGAAGGCACAAACTAACGGCGTGCCTAAACCTTCCTTGGTACCACCCTGCACCAGACCCTATCCAAACCACGTCCCTGCAGAGAGATGAATCCGGGTGTTCACACCACACACCATTAATGAGAAATAGCACATCGCAGCACTCTGAATAGCAAGGGAACATAGATAATGGCCATAAATGTATTTCAAACTCATTCTCAGATTCATCAGTCCATCCCAGATGGCTAACAGCTTTCCCAGTACAGTCACATCACCAAGGATCATGGGGTTTTTGAGGCAGTTCTGAGACACCGGCCAATAAAGGCACTCCAGCTGGAGGTAATCCTCTGTGGGTATGTCCACATCTGGAAGCTCTTGCTTGTTTAACTGCACATTTACTTAACTTCAAAAATACACATCACCAGAGGTCACAAGAGCTTTAACTGAACTTAAGCCAAACCAAAGCTCTGAGGTGGTTATTTGTTTGGAAAAATAACACACTTGTCGTTTGTGGAGAGTTGCTTAGCAGTGATTCTTTTGCACTTTCCACAGTAACAGACACACGTGATTTGTGGTAAAACACAGAAAAAGGTGGGAAAAATGATCTGAGACCGTATTTCCTCTCTGTATTTGAGAGGGACTCTGTGGCTGGGGTAAGGGTCAAAATGTGAAAGTCAGATCAGCTGGGGCTGACTCACCAGAGAAAAATTCTGTCTCTTGACCTGTGGGGGAAATGCCACTCACATGCTACAGAAGTACGGACAGCATCCACATTTTTCTCCTGTCATCAGGGTTTTCCTTTCCCAGGAGCATCCCCAGGGAAGTGAACTAGCACGATCTGTTTTCTACCTGAACGCTAGAACAAAAACATTACACGTGACTCTGCGTAATCTTACCAAGCATCAAAATTGCTTTTAAGACTGCAAACACAGCTCCCACTTCTATACTGTTGTGAGCAGCAGCCAAGAGGTGACGATCACAGGAAGAACGAATTCCAGGAAATAACTTCCCTATGGAAAGAAGAGTAAATCTTGTAGAAAGTGGTTGTTATCTACCGACTAAAATTTCCTTTGTACAAAATCCTTCTCATCTACAATAGCTACAGAAGCACAATAACTGAATGAAGAACTGAATTTTCTGAAATTGAAACTGAAGACCTACAGGTAGGTCATTAAAATCAACTGGGATGCATGGGTATGATGTATTATTATCAAAATAAGCTATGATCTTTTAAATAGAAAAAGGAGCCTGTCATTTCACTGTGTCCACGTAAACACTGAATTTAACTACCATGAGACACTGAAGTGTATTTTGGTTTTGACTTCCCAGATTTCGGAAACTACGTCCCCTCATGTAAGCTTCATAACAAATGAGGCAAAATGAATTAATATAAATGCCTGTTGCACAGTTAAGCCGAAGTCTGCAGCTCAGCAGCAGACTGCAAAAGAAGTCAGTGTTCTTCTAACTTCACGGAGAAGGTAAACAGACTGAAAGGCAGGGAGGGAGGGAGACAGGAAGGATGAATCCACCACCTTTCTCAGGTGGTTAATTGGGCCATGTGTAAGACAAGACTGCGACGTGGCCACATTGTGTTTGATTTGTAGAGTTGAGACATGATTTTTCCTATCCATTCAAATCCACTTTTATTTCTAGGGAAGCCTGGGACCATGTAACATATGTCTGTTCCTCAGACAGTATTCTTCATGCCTCTCTTACTTGTTTTCCTCAAATACGCAACAAAAGCTCATTCATTTCTGGTCAAAAGAAATTTAATATTACTTTTAGATGCAAGATTTTGATACCACTGAAAAGCTGAATTTTTTTTTCTTTCAGTTCCGTTTTTCCATAGAAATAGTCTTGTCATCCAATTTGCTGAAATAGTAAGTCAAAACACAGGTTATTTCCAGGCTTGTTTCCTTTTAATTGTCAAGTGCTTGTTCCTTGCCTTTTTCCTTCCTCTTTTGGTCTGTGGCAAACACACACAGGTCAGACCACAGAATATTCAAATTTAAAAGGAAAGAGAATTCCATTAATATATTCTGAGAACTATTTCCTCATGTTTCTTCTGTTGGACTAGATGCTTTATTATACCCTATTTAAAATCACATTTAATTTCAATTTTCATGCAAGGCTACCGAACTGCGTGATGTGAATCCCTACTAGTTTCTATACCGCCGCAAGATGAGCCACTGCAGGAGCCGTCACTGCACCGACAGAAGTTCACACGAAGGAGGGTGGGGACTGTGGTAAGTGCTACCCCTGCCAGCAGCCACACTGGCACAAAACCAGTATTAATAGGTCCCAGAGTCACACGACTGTTTCAAAGAAATTCAAAAGCAAAACAAGAACTATTGACAGAACAGTTCTTCTAAACGTGTTCCTCTTTGCTGAAGTGTACACAGATGCTGTGTTAAAAATTAATTTTCTTTTTTTAAGATGTAATATCAATATGGCTGAGTTTTACGTCAACATTATGCCACACCTGGGTGGCCAGGTGTTGGTAAAGAATAAGTTTCAGCAAACTTCTATCGTTTTACATGAATATAAAACATCTCCTAAACAAGTGAGAATAGTATGTATCAACTTCTCATGAGTGACACTTCTGTAATTTTAAACAGGCTATTGTTTCTACTCGCACTATGGGTATTTTCACACATGAAATGTGAAGCCATCAAAAACCCTCTGGGTTCACTTTCTGAAGCGAAAGGCACACACAGCAGGCCACTTACCTGCTCCCTGGGGAAAGAGGCAGACCTGGGGTGTCCTGAAGAGGTGCAGGAGTAGCCGACAGGTCATCCTCGCCCCAGGCTCAGCATCCGGATCTCCACAGGCTACGGAAGATGGGACGTGGACATCAGACATCTGCCCAGAACCTCTCAAGTCCCAGTGGCAGGCCTGGAAATGTTCTACCTCACAGCCCCATTTTAAATGGGAATACAATAATTTCATCAACAGGAATCAGCATTTATGGCCTTGAGTCATTAAAAACAGGAAAGGATAGTATGGCTTTTGGTAAGCAAGAGATGTAATTAATGGCAGAAAAGAATACATGGCTAAAATGGCTTTTGACAGTCAAAGCAGAAATAAGAAACACAAATCCAAGCAGTAAGTGAAAAGAAATGTGTGAAGTGGCCGACAAAGAGGACCATAGCTACAGTACTCCAGGGCTGGAGGCAAAGACGATGAGGTCAGAAGGAAAATGCCAACGTCAGGCAGATTGATGCCAGAAGGAAGTGCACAACCTGAGTAGATCTGGCAGACATTTGAGCATATAGCGCAGAGCAGAAAAGAGCCGTGAGCAGAAGGTGAGGCTGCATAACAGAAGGGGACAGTGCGCTGTCAGCAACTCTGATACCACTTGTCACGTGTGGGTTCTCTGATCTAACTTGGCGTCGCTCCTTTTGGGAACTGCAGGGACACACATGCTGCAATGCATAATAGGTGGCATTCCACACAAGAACGCGGTTCAGAACACACTACTTATTCAATCAATGGAGACTTCTTAAGAAGTCTTTTTTCATTTAAGTTTATCTCTTGGTAATTTCTTACCAGCTGCAAGAAGAGAAGGCAATGCAACATGCTGAACTACATCTTCCAGAGAAAAGCACTGCCGGGCAATCAGCACAGCGATGAAAGTGGCCAGGGAATCGTGGAACGACAGGTCGCTCACCTCGAAGGAAAAACATTGCAAGGCTTCACACAACAGTGCACACACCACTGCCATGATTGTTAAGGAATTAACGATAAGAATAAACAGTAACGTGTTTACGCATAAGCATTTGTCTCTACATTTTAATGCATTTCCCAAACATTTTATGGCAAATACCGATAGCTCTTAACTTCACTTTAACAAAAAACCTACTTCCACAAATTCTGAAATAAAAAACATTAGTCTTATAAAAACTTGAGGAAATTATATCATTCTACAAAAACTGGTAACACCAATGCTCATTCCTTAGCTTCAGGACAAGAATACATCCCCAAAGTACACAGCTTCAATCTGTTCCCAAAGGCATATGTAATCAAACTATAGATAAATATATTGAATCAGATATTGGGTAACATTAGTCACCAGAATCCTGTTGACTTTAACAGGACTATGGTAACTTACACCGGGTGGGTAAGGAACAGCAAAGTGCACCACCCCTTCTACAATCTGAGAATCAATGCCAAAACAGGGTCTTTAAAATCCAAATAGTGATTTGCACATCCATCAGCATTTTAGAAAAAGTATATGGACGTGGCTGCTCCTTTCAAGGAGTACCTTTGATATTCCTTATCATTCCGTAATAAAGAAAAAAAAAATTACAAAGAGAAAACTCTAAGCACTGCCCAAATTCTACATTAACCCTGAAGATGCAGGAAAGAATAAAAATCAATCAGGATTCTCACTGGAAGTCTTGAAAACTCAAATGGATACAGGACTAAATTTGTGCGCAGCATTTTGTATTGAATGGAAACCTTACTACACCTCTAAGCTCACCCCAGGTAAATAGGTTTAACAGGTACTTCAGCAGCTATTGAACTTACATCCACACTGCAGAGCAGATCATTGAAACCCCAGACGTGATTTGAGGAGCAGCAAAGAGCTTTTACGACCCCCAACCACTCTGAGCTGAGCACTGTGCAGCATGCCGTCAGCTCTGCGCAAAGGTTTGCTATGTCATTAATCCTAGGAAAGAAGAGAAAAACTAATACAGAAGCAAGATATTTTGTAAATAATAAATGTTTAGGTCAAAGCAGGTCAGCGCTTGGCAGAAGAACTGGTGTTTCCTTACTCAAGGTGGGGGTTTATGGCCAAATGTGACTATGCTCCTGTACATATAACCTAGTGGTATTCAGTTGCGGACAACTGGAGCATCTGGGGGAAAAACAGTACGTGACTTGCACCCTGTAACTTGCACTCATCCAATCTACGTAGCACAGGGCCTTTATTTATTTTGTGTGAGCCCTACTCTGTTCGCCCTGCATTCCTACCAGCTTCCCGAGCTGTGCTGAGCTGCCCCGGAGGAGGGATGGAGCACCCAAACCCCCGCCGCCTGAGCCCACCCCTCTCTACAGGGGCACACTCCAGCCTTTCCTCAGTGCTGGCGGACAAACAGCAGCTCCATCCTCTCTCATGCAAAACATCACGGGAAAGTGGTGTGTATGGTGCACATCTCCCCAGCCCCAGGCCAGCACTACTGTTTAGGAGGGAGGAGAGTCACAAAATCAATGGACATTAATGAATTTTGCTTCATATTGTGTTATGTGTGACTCGGTGTATGATTCAGAGTTATGTAACATTTTAAAGAACCCAGCAGAGTTGACTCATCCCAGTACAAGTTATTTTTTCTCTGTTCCACAGTGAAACTCGTTTGGCCACATTTAGATGTTCCTCTTTGCTGCTCTTACAAAACTGCTTCCTCTCAGGTACTCTGCTCTGCCCACATTTCACAGAATCCCAGACTGGTTTGGGTGGGCAGGGACCTCCCAGCCCATCCAGTGCCACCCCTGCCATGGGCAGGGACACCCTCCACTAGCCCAGGTTGCCCAAAGCCCCATCCAACCTGGCCTTGAACACTGCCAGGGAGCCAGGGGCAGCCACAGCTTCTCTGGGCAACCTCTGCCAGGGCCTCAGCACCCTCACAGGGCAGGATTTCTGTCAGAAAAACAACCGAGGTAATGCGGTTCTGGACAACCTCTTGAAGTGCAGGTCTCATCCTAAACTCTAGTCAGTGGAGATCAACTTGAGGCCCAAGCCACTCTTAAAATATAGCTGACAGCTGCTACAACTTCAGGAGCTTCTATCCAATAAAACTCTTAATAGTTTAAAAAAATATTTTTGGAAAATCTACAAATTACCTGTGAAGATGAATTCCATAACGAATAAATTACACATTTAATAAATTCTGATTGGATCAGAAGGAGGAAATGACCTAATGCAGAACCTTCCCTCATTTACAGGCTTCTAATGAGCAAAGCTTGTGCTGAGCTGTCCTGTCTGAAACGGCACAACTGCTGACTGTCTTACAGCAAGCACTTCCCACTTGTTACTCCCTTCTGTTAAATTATGCAGACCGATTTAATGAAATAACTCAGAGAAAACTTATTCAATAAATTTTCAGCAATCAGAAAGAGTACTGAATGAAAATAATTGCAAAAAAACCCCACAAAATGAAAAGGTGAAAGGAAACCTCATATAAACCACATAAAAAATCCATCCAGTTCCGATTCCAGCACTGTTTGCCTTACCTCCCTGCGTCCTGGTGCCCCATGCACACATTCATTAGTGCATTGCAGACAAAGCTGTAGCGGTTGGCTGCGTTATCGCTCAGGATCTTGCCCAGCATTGAGTAGTTAATGCTGTGAGCAGAAGGATTCTCGATAAAATCTAGCATGAACTCCGGGTCCCACAGTAAATTGGAATTTGAAGGCTGAACATTGCTGTATATCGTTTGCTTCACCTTAGAACAGGCACTACTGAGGACCAAAAAAAGAGAGAGTTGCCAAAAAACGTACTGTGCAGAAATGCTGTTGAACATACCGTGTGGGATTAGAAAATCCTAGTGTGGTTACCATTCTGTACACATTCTCAAACTCATTTTTGATAAGGACCATCTACCAGAAAATAACGCTGATAAATCAATTTCATTTAAGTTTTCCTGCAAATAAAGTCTCGAGTTTCCAAATCGCTTCTATGCCTTTTTTGTGACTGGAGCTGTGAGCAGCTGGCTAAGGACCACACATTCGTCCCTTACTAGCAATGACTTCCCAGAGCATCAGATGCCTCTCCGTGAACTGGAACACTGCTCCCTTTCTTTCTGTGTTATGGCATAGCTAGCTGCAACAGTGGTAAGAAGAGTTAATTAAGGAAAAAAGAGAAAATTTATCTAAATTGAAAACCTCTATATTTGGTAATAACGTGACACAGCAGACAACTTTTTGAAAGATGAAATCAGTAAACAGAGAAAAGACAGTTAAAGGTCATATTTTGTCATTAACGATTATGACAAAACGTCAGGAAACGTTCCAGGCTAGGAATACCTGTATGTTAATTGGCTTTCTTCAGGGGGAAAAAAAAAGGTCTTAGTGAAGAATGCAAATTTCACACACAAAATGTTCTAAGGAGCATTTGCCTCAAGCATTGGGTTTTATACCACAGCTGGAAACAACACCCACATGGACAAACTTCACAACTGGGAAGACTTCCTCATTATGGAAAAAAAAAAAAAATCTACTGATTGAAATTAACTCAAAAGACATAAAACCTTTGGGAAGTTTTAGAACTCCACTGGCCCCAGGATGAAAAGACAGAGGAAGCATTGTGCCACCTGGAAGGTATCTGTGACCTGAGGAAGGGTCTGGGCAGCAGCGCCAGGATGTGGGGCTTGGAGGACAGCTCTGGGGACACCCAGGGAGGGCAGCCCTGGGGACACCCTGCCACTGCCAGCCCCTGCACACACACTGCTCCTCCTGGATGCTCCAGGGCAGGAGGAAGAGGCCATTAGCAGGATAATTAATCTACTGGAAGGGTAATGCCTGACGTTAACCCTTTGCTCTAACAGCCAGCATACCAGCAAAGAAAGAAAACCAACCAGTAGAAAACAAACACCCCATACCTCACACACCAGGCACTACATGAACGGGCATCCTGGGCACACATACGTCCTGACACTCTGTCATCGCAGCATTTACCTACGCTTACCCCATGGGTCACAGAAAGACAGGTCCAAAACCCAAATAACACAATACTGAGTCCTGAGCAAAGCAGCCTCTGAAGCTGTACTTGCGCAGGAAGTAACACTGGGGGAGTGGTCAGAAGATAAGATTAAAAAAAAAAAGTGAAGGAATGATTTAAAAAAGGAAGCTTAGTGAATACAGCTAAATATACCAAGCATACTAAACCAAAACATGCAGCTCACTTAGTAAAACCCAGTCATGAAAAACACTGCAGATGGTATCAGAAGCCATTTTCAAAGCACTGCGGTAATACGGAAGGTAAGTCTCTAAATTTGAACATTTACGACTGTACTTTGTTGTTGCTTCAAAATGACTTAGAGAGAGAAAAAGCTGGACTTACAGCATGCTAAGAAGGAGCTTATTAAGTTGCCATGTACAGACAACTGGGTTTGGTTTTGTTCCAGTTGCAGCAAGGAAGCCAAAAAGAAAATGAGTGTAGCACTATTACCTGATACACAGCTGTTTAAAAAATGTATACAGAAATGTTATTACCAGTTTTCAGAGAGTTTCTAACTTCACTTGTCTGAAAAAAGGGGCTTCAAATCAAGTACCGTATATCACATATTTAATATATGACTTAATACCCTAAGTATCTCTATATTACTAGATGATGTTTTGATTTGCCTTTGTAGGTTAGTATTAATAAAAATGTTATTTTTTTATTGTGTTACTGAACTTTAGGTTTTAAGCGGAAAAATGAACATACAGCTAAGACACTTCTGTAGTTCTTCTATATTTCATATTTCTTTTTCCTAGTGTTTCTCATATTAAATGCTATGGTTCCCATGTGTTTGTAAACCTATTAAAACATTAAGATTATTACTGAGAACTCTTTTCCTGCTCCCCATGAAATGAAAACCACAAATCTGCAATACGCAAACCAAACCCAGGTACATAAACTAGGAGGGGAACCAGTAACTGAAGTGGTTTGTAAGTCTCACAAGATGTGTATTTGCATATGAAAGGTCTCTGCTCTCCCTTTAAAAAGTAAGAGCCAGAAATACAGCGTATGGGTACCTAAAATACTTTTTTTAATTTAAAAATCAAGGAACTGACCATTTGAGCATAAAACTTCACAAACTCAAACATGTTTGTGCCTCTCCCCACATCAAAGGCAATATTTAATAGAATATTACATCTGCACCAGCCAAGATCTAGTTATGTTTTCCTCCACCACTGATTGTATTACAGCCAGGTTGCTGATGCATTAACGGAACTGAATCAGTCACCTCACAACCTGCAAAGCAGAGGTGCGCGGGGAGGGGTCCCGCTGTGCAGGCGCAGCTGCCTCGGCAGCCGACCCGATGCCGATGGTCCCCATGTCCCACACGCCAGCGCTGTGTGCTGGAGCAACCCGCTAAGCTAACCACAGCGCTGCGAGGAGGGCTCAGCCTCTGCTCCTCCACGGCAGGTACCGGCACAGCGCGAGCACTTCGCAGGCTCGGGACCACATGCTCTGCTGCCACACTCGGCACAGGCAAGAGAATTGCACTGCTGTAGGTAAAGCAGCAGAGGCAACGGCGTGTTTTCCAGGGAAAGCAACCCAAACTGAAACCACGGTAGCCTGCGTCAGTGTACAGGCTAGGCAGTGGTGAGAAAAATCCCCTTACCACTCACCTGAAGAGGTCTCCAAACTTGCTTCTCAGGTGACTGCAGGACACGTACAGATCATAGAGGTAAGCTAAAATACACCTCTCTGGGGAGGAACACTCTGAGGGATTAACGACGTGCTTTACCACCCCACACAACCTGCAAAAAGAAAAATAAAACCATTCTGAGTTCATTCTGACGCGCCTTAAAAACACATCTCATATAGTTACATATCATATAAACCCCACCATTAGCTGGACGAGGTGATGACAGACCTTGCACCTACAAGCTGCCGAGGCTCATGTGAAGCCTGGTGCCACCCGTGCGCTTGCCTGGGCGCCAGGGAGGACAGGACAGGACACAGAGGCACTCAGGGAGCCCAGCACAGGGCCAATGGGTGGAAGCCCACAGTCCCCCTTTTCCTCGGTTACCAAGTGCGTGGGTCCCCCAGCCCCAGCAGCGGGGAGCCGGCTCCAGAGGTGAGCCCTCTGCTCCGCTCACCTGAGCTCGCTTACAGCCTTCCCATGGCAGTGCGATACTGGCTCACTACCTGAACCCAAATGCTTAAGAGAGCACACCAAAAATACTTCTTGGAAAATTGTAGCTGCCACAAACCCTTCAAAGACTTGTGCGGTTTGCTCTGAGTTGAGGATGAGGCAGGCATGGTATCGCCGCAGAACGGCGACGATGCAGACGCACAGCCCTGTCGTGTAGCTTCCGGCCAGGCTGGACGACTTCAGCAGCAGCTCTGCCTCCACAACGCTCAGCTCATTCAACAGCTGAAAACACGTACACAAAAATAATGAACTGGAAATAACTTCCAAGTTAAACAGGTTTGCTCTGAGTTGAGGATGAGGCAGGCATGGTATCGCCGCAGAACGGCGACGATGCAGACGCACAGCCCTGTCGTGTAGCTTCCGGCCAGGCTGGACGACTTCAGCAGCAGCTCTGCCTCCACAACGCTCAGCTCATTCAACAGCTGAAAACACGTACACAAAAATAATGAACTGGAAATAACTTCCAAGTTAAACACTTAAAATAAAATAGGTGGGGAAAAAAAAAAACATTAAGGAAAAACTATATGGCAAACAAAAATGAAATTCCTTACTCACTACAGAACAAGAGCAAAATAAACTGTTAAAGTAGAAAAAAACCCCTTCCCTCAGAACTGCTCTTCAGAAATACATGGCATTTCTGGCACCCAGATGCTTTCCTGTGTAATATGATGGTTCAGTCTGAAATAGTGAAGCCCATCCTAAAATACTTTGTGCTAAAAAAATCCAGAATTTTATTAATTTTGAAAGATTAAAAAATAATATACATCTATTGCTTCTCCAAATTGTCAATGTAAGACAGAAGTAGTATTTGGCACTCTGTTTCAGAGGTAGGGAAACTGAAACATAGATAAAAGTGCATGAAACACTGAAAAAGTGCATGAAAACTGAAACAAGATAAAAGTGCATGGCAGCAAATCAGGAGAATTTGAGTTCAGCCCTTGTTTTATTTCTGGTTTTACAGAAATTGCATCACAGCTTTATCCTGACATAACCCCCCCAAAATGAACTCTCTTTACCTGTATTGCAAAGTCTATAAGTCCATTGATATTCAGTGCTGGCTCCATGAGATCAAAGATGAGCTGTATATGGTGAGCCAAGGGAAGATGATATGAAGTTCCTGAGGCAAAACTAGTTATCTGTTCGAGAACGTTACTGGAGATCTGTGAAAATAAATGTTGAGAAGTTGAGCGAGGGCTTTTTAGACACACTAGTGCTCCAAAAATCCTGTTCTATAAGCGATAGTAGCAAGCGACAGCATTTTGCAGATAAAAGCACTAACAAATCATGCATAAGTACATCTATTTACTATTGTGTGAGTCAGTTGTAATGCCGTTTTATTTTCAAAATTGACAACACAGAAAATGCTGTTCTGCTGCTTTACAGTTGAGGGTCAAACTGTTCTTAACATTTACAATACTGATTTTTATACCATAGAGCATTTTGCTTTAAAGAAGAGGCAAAATCATTTTACTTTTCACCTTACTGCATTGTGCTTTTTTATTGATGGTTTTCAGATAATTAATAACATGTTATCCTGTAATAAATTCATTCAGAAGACCAGATCCAAATATGTCTTATAAATTAACATGTACCTCTTTTACTTATGCTAGCCTCTGATTATTAAAATATACTTTAAAACAGTAACACTGGACAAAGTGATGTAATTCTACGCTGATACATTGGCACACTTACATGTCCTAATATTAACCAGGAAAATCAGGTTTGTCATTTAAAATAAATTATTTATGTTCTCCAGTCAGCCACTGATACAGCTTTTTGTCAGTAAAGGTTGACTATAAATTCTCATTTCAAGAAAAGAACAAACTGTCTTATCCACCAGCTTCTCAGAGAGACACACTCTGTTTGTTGCTCAAAACCAAAGAGCTCACCATCCCCCATAAGCACAGATGCAGTAACATACCTCATACATATCCAAGAGATTGGTTAATAAGTATCTAATTTACCAACGAGTCCTGAACAGTGCTGTTAATGGAAATTTCTGTAAAATTTATTTCCAATTTTTCATTAAAAAAATCATGACATCTATAATAATCCTGAAAGCTTCTTGTAAGACAAACAAACAAAAGCCACAAACCAACCCACCCAAACACCCCACTATCTACTGAAGCAGATATTTCGGAATACTAAGGTGGCATTTTTTTCTCCTGCCTTTGAAGCAGTAGTGCGCTGACAATTCTTGGTATATACAAAACACTTCTAAAACCTTCAGAAATTTGCTTCCTATTTGATATCTCTACAGCAGAAGGTAAAAGGCTACGATTTTATACAAGGGAAGTACCTGAGATGTCACCTGATGTTGATCAAAATAGGACAGTTGCTGTAGTTTTGTGAACACGGTCTCTAGGGTTGGAAACGCTTCTTGTTTGGTCTTCCTGGCTTTTTGCCCTTCATCCCCAACTTAACAGACAAAAAGTTATTTTGGTCATTTTATATTTAATGTAGCCCTAGTAGTTTTGCATTATGACTGATTTAAAAGACAATAAAAATCTGAATAAGCTTTACTCATGACTACATAAAACCCTACTTGCCTCAGTTTTCCATTATACTTGGGACAAACATATGCCACAGTGTGTAATGATATCAAAGCTACTTTAAGGTTATTCCAACGCAAAAAAGTGACACCCCACAAGAACTGAAAACCAGTGGTGCATTTTTACTAGGAGGGTAGGCACACGCGGCTCTCGCTGGCCAGCATCTCTGATTCCAGGCTTTAGCCTAAGGCAAGTGTCAGAGCCAAGCTGGTGTAACGGAGAACAGGGATTTCTAACCACAGGCCCCTCGTTGCCCTGGTGCAGCTCTAAGGCAAGCCAGCGCTTCGTGCTGCGGGACTCCGGTCTGTGCTTCACCCAGTGACTACGAAGAGGATGGAAGCCAAATATCGTGGTAACACGCATGGCTCCAGACAACTTGCTGAGCACCTCACAGCTCCCGTGATCTTAGCTACAGGCTACCATACAGCGGCATTAAAGCATTTACCACCCATTTCAGTAGTACTCTTCTTATTCAGAATTTTGAGGATGTCTTTGGTAATCTTCTTCAGCTGATGCCTCGCTTCATCACGCTCCTTACCAACACCATAAAGGAGAATCATGCGCTGGTTACACTCGTGACTTGAAGATTCATCCTGAAAAGACCAGATATGAGTGAAGCTTCTTTTCTTTTTTCTGTCACCACTTGGAGAAACCCAACCCGAGCAGCCCAGACTGCAATAAGCAGTCAGGAACTCTTTGTCACTGAAAGCATCTCCTGTGGTTATCGGTGTGGAGGAAACAGTGCCGAAGGAAATCGTTACAGGGGCAGGGTAAAAATACAGAGGGGAAAAAATGTCATCCCATATTATGAATTCTGTATGTATTCTACAAGGACAAGGTCAGAGGATGCGTGCACATGACCCTTCTAACTGTCCCCTGGATTGATATTCAGCAGTAGATTAATAGACAGAAGACAGATGGCTAAAAACTGTGTGTCATTTCTCTTACTATGTACAATACCATTGAAAAGAAGATGCAGCCCAACTCCTAAAATTCTGTTTTGCACATCCAAAAGAAATTGAAGTATGTAGAGTTTATTTAAATTGTAATTGGTTACATTTAGTCTTCTAATAAAATGTATCATATCATGTTGATGCACTGTATATAGTTTAAAAACTCGGAGAACTGCTCTGCAAGTCATTTAAGGTATAAATATTTTGTTTGGTAATATACTTACCTTCTCCAAACTAACCAATCACTACTCCTTTCAACATAAGACTACTTAAAAAATCTAAGGCGGCATACAAAATTATACTAAATAAGGCTGCATACAAAATAATACTAAAGAATCACAAGGCAAAAAGGTAGCAGACGGGAGCGCAACTCTATGCTCAGGAAACTTGCAGTATTACAAAACACATGCTCTTGTTTAAAAATAGTGACTCTGCTAGGAGGGCAAAATCAGGAAGTAAACCTCTAATTATTTTTAAAAATTCTTTTTCTCTCTCTATTCTAGAGGAAACAAAAGCAGAAGCACTGAGTGCGTCACCTGGAATTTGCAGCTGTTCTGGCTCAGAAGCCAGTTCAAAGCCAGAGGAAGGTCTAAGTCTCAGTGGGATGCACAGCTGCCCCTCCAGCCTCTCCTCGCCCGTGGGAATGCTCCTGCCCGCTCACATGGTGAAGAGCTAGAGGAACTGCGGCCGACCCTCCGTCAGCAACACGAGCTTCCCAGCAGAGCCAAGCGTTCCATCGATTCCCAACAGCACGCCACGGTAATCTGCTCTTGGATTTCTGGGGAGGGGGACTGGTGTCTGACTGGGCACGCGTACGGAATACTTACTTCATTAGGATTAGACTGGGCACTTCAAAGCATAAGCTAATTTATTTCTATCTTACAGATAGAAACAGAACTTTGCAGGTCTGTAAGGAAGATGTCAGGGATGTTTGGGCATTGGCTGACAAAGCGTCAACTCCCCTGAGTGCCTTACGTTACAGAGGCAGAGATCACAGGGAAATACAGCAATTTTTACAACTGCATCACTACACACCTGAAAAGTTACTCCTTTTGAAACGCAACACTGACTGATTCAACATCCCTGCCTGGCTTTCCCAGGCAGCCACTTCGGATCAGACCCGATGTGATCAAGGTTTTCAGACTAAGAGCCACAGCGTTCAGCCCAGCCCGCTACCAGTTACGCGGACGCCAGCCCTCGCTGTTTGTGGGTGACCGGCCAGCCGACGCGCTCTGGGCAGCACGACGCAGGCTCTCAGCAGCGCCTTCATGGGAGGCTGCAACTCCTGCGCGTTGGCCCCAGTCAGGGAAGTTTTAGACTGATTTGCAACACAGCACTGGTAAAGCAACTGATTTAGGAAAATGACAGGATAAACTGTCAAACTAGGAGTCAAGGTATACATAAATAAATACCTACATAAATAAAGCTACAAATAATTTCAGACGTTGCTGGCAAATGTCTAACCACTGAAATAACCGACCCCGTTAGCCATCCAAGTGCTAACGTGTAGGGCCCTTGGAAGCAACAACCAGTGACTTTGTGGGGTGCCACATCCACCCTTTGCGCAGCAGGGTGAAATGGCGGCAGCCTG